CGGATTCTTTTGAGAACAGACCGTCCAACAACTTATCCAATCGTCTCACCTGTCATCCCAGACGCTACTCTTCCAGTGTGCACCTAGATGTTTCTCCAAATACGCTTACCGCCGCTGACTGCTTGTACCCAAAGTTGTATCGCTATTGAGATGCTGAGGCCCTGAGCAAAGAGAACCGTCGAGAGATGGCCTACGGATGGTTGCTCTGATAGGTGGATCCTGGGCGGTTTCCTAGGGTGGAAGGGGGAACATTTGAGCAATTTTTATGTATTTTGTGCTGTGTAACAGCATTACAAAACGCATATTGTCACGGGGTTGTCTGTGTGTGTATGTGTTTGTGCATGTGTCCCACATTTTATCCCGCACTTTGAAAAGCTAAGCGGCTGAAATTTTGGTATAGTGTTCCCCGCCAGCGGGTGACGCGGCAAATTTAAATTCAGCTTTCCCCTGCCCGTGGGTAACAAGTACGGTCCCGTGAAAATTTTTGATGGATAAATTATTATTTCGAGAACCACGGAGTCTAAGAAGCTGAAAGTTTAGAGTAATGACCCCCTGCCCACGCTCAACTTTGCCCATTCAAATTCTGCGTTCCCTCACTCTTGAGTATCACCTACGGTCTCCTGAAAATTTTGGCGGGTAAACTATTAACTTGGGAATCACGGAAAGATATTCACCCTTCAAGGTTCCGAATTCAGCTTTCATGCGCTGGCACGTGAAATTTTTAACTATTTCCAATGTTTGAACTATTTTTGCATAGACAAAAGTACAAAGCAGTGAAAATCATTAATAGGCAAATATCGTTATGGTAGAACTATTTTTGCATAGACTAAAATACAAGGAAGTGAAAATCATTAACAGGCAATCGTTCGATGGGTTGAACTGCACAAAGACGCATGATCGCACCGGCTAGTCTGGTGCGCGTTGCTATTTATTACAATTACTCGTGCAAAACGCATGATCGCACCGGCTAGTCTGGTGCGCGTTGCTATTTATTTTTCCTCCCCCCCTCTCCCGCCCTCTCCTCGTTCGTTACTACTTCGGAAGCCCCACTCTCCTCCCCCCCGCTCATCGCTCCCAGCGGCAACGAATCGGGGAGGGGGCGAGGGGAAAAATAGAGTGGGGCATCGCTGCCCCTCCCATTCCTGAATCCGCCAATGGCTGCTGTTAGAATGTGCTACCATTCAAGCTACTCTAAATGCCTCTGTCTCACAAACAGAACGTATATGGAAGGAATCCCGAATTTTTACATGCGATCACCAATAATAACTTTTTTGCAACTTATTTTTTTTTACAAAACAGTAAAAAAAACAAAATCCAACAACTTATTTTCTGAAAAATTGTTTTGAAAAAGTATTTTCTGAAAAAAGGAAACAAGAAACAGCCTATGAAATAGCATATGTCAAAGGTACGCACTTGCTCCCAGAGCCCCTTCACTCAAGTATTGCTTAAAAGCAAGCTAATGGAGGTTAACTGCGGTGAGCTAGTACCAACTGATGGACCGAAACATTCCAATTCAGATTTTTTTTTCTCAATTTTATCTTTTTACAAACTTTCATTACCATAAAATATCTAAATTTAAAATAA